GGAAGGGGAGATCCTGCACCCCTTCCCTCTGGTAGTTGGTGCCATGGATGAACTCTTCTTAGCATTGACAAGTTTCTGCCATCCTGTAACTCAAGGCCTTTAGATGAGGCACTGTTCACTGACGCTCCAGAGAACAAGCTTTTTCCCTGTGTGATAACCCTTTAGGTATTTGAAGAGATGTATCATTTTCACCCTTAAGCTTCTCTTCACAAGGCCAAACTCATCCTCTTGCATAACTTTCCCTAACAGGACTCATTTTACAGACCTTTGAGAACCTCAAATGCCATCTTCTGAACACATCCTGCTCTCTCCCTCTTTTTTCCCCAGCCCATTATGTTCACATAGTCTCTCAGACATTTTCACCGTACACCCTTGAAGAGCACAAGTGCTCCTTAAACCTGAAGGGGTTCTGCCATGGGGTAAACAGTTATTTTGTCTATCCTGAAAGGAAAAGCTTCAAGTGCAGGAGAGTACAGTAAATGCTGGGTTCCAAACTGATTTCAGAAGTGCACAGTGCCACCGGAGACCAGAAGCCGTAGACCTTACAGTAACCGCTATTCACATCCCAGTGGTACTCAGGAAGACACACTCCTTGTTCTTAGCTTGCTTTCCTGAGCAATCCTTCCCAGCATTCCAAAAACCGCTTTTATGTTCATCCCTGAACTAGCCTCCAAAAGTACAGTCCATGGCTGTTCTCTTTTGTTAACATCAGCAACTGCATTTACTTCTCAGCCAACCTCCTGAGGATCCTTGAGGTCAAGTTGTCCATTGATCCCGCCCAGGATGCTTTGAAGGCTGAGACCAGTACGGCCATTGCTCTTCTCAGGCAATGCTGTCTTCAGCCTTTTGCCACAGTACCCACCTGCCTCATCCCAGTTTTGTGAGAGGGATGTTATAACAGCTGAGAATGGCCTGTTGTGGATTTCATATATGTGGAAGCACTTGTGAAGGCGTCTACAGTCGGGACGGTTGTCTGCGTGGTATTTGAATCCTCTAAGAGCTGCTATTGATCCTCCTGCTAGTGAAAACATAACTCACTCCATCTCATACATCTTTCTCACTCCCCTCCTTTCCCCCTTTCTCTTTCTCACACGCACACACCCACCCACCCCTGGACAGTTCTTCGGTAGATTTGAGATGTTGATCAGCATTTTGCACGGCCTTCCTTTCTTTGGTATTACTATATATTTCCCATATGTATTCCCATTCAGTTTTATGTCCCAGTGTAAACTGGCTCCCAGGAATGTAATGAAACATTAAAGCATCTCCCCAAACTGTGATTTGGGAAATGGAGCTTCCATATTTTGGACTAGATGATATGGGAAGGTAGGTGAAGGAAGTTCTGTTCAGTGCTAATTAAACATGCCCATCTCTTTATTCCAAACTGTTTTCTAAACTCCTTTTTTGTTTATTATTACAGTTTCTAGGATAATACACTAAGTTGAAGCTTCGGAATATAATTATACTTAAGTTTTCCAAAGCCGACTCTCTGTTCATAATGGATAAATGCAAAGCACAGAGCTTTGCACACTGTGCCACAGATTTGCATAAATGACATAGTTACAAAAAGGCATTGGATCCTGGTTTAATATAGAAGGTAAAATGAAGTCAACCATGTCTGCCTTGCTCAGAAATATCCAATATTTATCTGCAGGGCTTGGCAAACTGAGTTATTTCAATCCTTTCCCTTCCTCTCCATCCCAGCTTAATAGTCTACTATGTGCCAACATCTCAACAATTGTGAGCAGAAAAAAATGCTCATGATAAAAAAGAAGACTCATGATATGATGTGACATTAAAATCACCTTCTTTCTCAGCTACTTTAAAATACTGTATTATACAACCTAGGCAAACATTTCCAGATAATCTGTTCTCATGCTCCATCAAGATCTCCATGATGGAGGAGATAGGCTAGTATTTCTTTTACCCAAACTAAAACCTTTTCATTTACCCAGCCATTTTAAAATATTGTGTTCTCATCTGGTTGTATAGTTTATCTCTCTCTCAATTTACTGTATTGCTATTCATGTTTTCTGCTGTTATAATATTTTATGGATTTGAATTTCTTAGGCAAACCACTAGGAAATCTGTTTTTGAATGAAGGTGTGGTTTAAACGTTCTTAAAATGCAGAAAGTTTCTTCTGCTATTGCTGAGCTGTAGGGGGAAATGGGCAATGGAAGGGAGAACAGAGGCAGGCAGATAGCTCTGCACTGAATGTGCTTAACTGAAAGGCTGTTGCCATAAGTCTAAGAAGATGCTCTTTAATCAGTTCTCTGGAGCGCCGCAGACCAGAGAGGAATATGCAGTGTCCATCCAAACACAGCCACATGATGGGCTTCAAGTCTTCAGGACTGCAAGAGGGCCACAGCTTGAATATTTTTCTACGTTCTTAAGATTTGCATTTCTGAGAAAGTCCAGACCTTGCTTGCGAAATTTAGATTGGCTCTGTATTTTTCATCATAAAATGGATAGTCCCAAATATTATGAAGGCTGCCCATTGCCAGGCTTACTTATTCACTGAATATCACCATGGCTGAGAGGCAAAGGAGTTTGCACTGAATTCATGCATGGATGAGTACTTGCAGAAGCAATCCTATGCATGCTTAGAAAAAAGTCTAGCTTTTATTGAAATTGTGCTAGTTGTTTAAATGGTTTTAAATTCCACATACTGAAATTCTGCACTGTTTTTTATTGTAAATGTATTTTTATTGACTCTATTTTGCATGTGTACTTGTGTTTATGAACTGCTCTGAACCACGCAGATAGTGTCAGCTATTGGGCAGTATAGAAACAAAATTGACAACCACCACCACCACCACCTAAAGTCCTACAATACCCAGCATGCTCTGGCTGGCTGGCTGGCTGAAGCAGGCTGAATTGTAGGGCTTTTTTTCTTTTTAAACAACACACACAAACAGAGCCTGACACAACACTTTAAACCAGGGGGCTAGACGTGTGCATAAAAACGTCCCGATATACACAGATACTGTGCACATGTCCATACACAAAGTAACTCACGTGTGCACACACGTACACACGCACACACGCTTATACAGAGATACACATGGACTTTGCGGCTTTCAGGACCCTGGGAGATGAGGTGGCTAAGTGATCCTTTCCCCAGTGAATCAGCAGGAAGGCAAGGATCCCAGCTGCTTTGGGGTTTCTGGGATGTGGGGTAAACTGGGACTCTTGGTGAATCGCAGAGAAAGCAACAGAGAGCTGCTGGTTGTGCACCCCGAAATAACAGTTTAATATGTTGCCAGCTTTAAATTGCACCAACCAGAACATTTGATCCAAACTTTCATTTCATGCCAGAAGCCAAGGAGGTGTGATTGTTCCCAGACAATGAGTATACTCTCAAGACGCAAACAGTCTCACTCCCTCACCTGTTGCTAAAGTCACACCAATAAGAGCAGAGAGTATAGCAAGTTTACTCATACAGTTGTGGGAGAGCCATATTTTTCCCCCTTTGCGTGGAGACTGATGGCAGGCACCATGTTTACTTAGCCTACATGCTGTTGAAGTCCACAAGCGTCCAGTATCACAAGGAAAGAGAGTAAGCGGATGAGTGAATTCCAGGAGAAAAGAGATAAAACGCAGTGGCAATGAAGCTGTTGACCTGCAAGGGCATGCATGCCTGTTAACAACATGGCCGACAATAGTTACTCATCGAACACTACATTCCTAGGAATGTTATGAGTGGCTCTTGGTGGGAAAGATGGGCAATGGTGGCCCACCTTACGTGGAAGATAGCTTTCCCACAGCACTGTACAGCCCAAGTGGAGCATTAAGTGTGTTGTTGCATTCACCAGCGCTGCAGGGCAAATTTTAAGTAAGTGGCAATGTTGAGCCACTTCAAACAACAACTAGGGGAAAAAAACCCCACTTGGTTCCAGCTGTTTTCATTTTGCCAAGAAATAGGACAAAAGCCCTTCCCCATTGTTAATCTCACAAAAAGCAGATACAGAAGAGAGAATAGCATTGAGGGGCAGATTCTGAACCAATGATGAGCATTTAGTTCAGCATCTAAACACTAGATTCAAAAGTGAACCTATGCACGTAAAAGTGTGTGCATGATGTGACTTTTTCATAAAGGAAATGCTGCCTTTGTAGTTTGCCCAGCCACTCTTAGAGCTCCTTATTCTACATCGATAGGGTCAGTTAGCAAATGCATGTAATTCGAGATGGCACTTCCCACAATGATGCCATCCCACAAATGTACGTCCATTCTGCATGCAGTTTGTGGGTATAATAGGTTAGATATATACATTATAAAGTGGAGTAGACCTATTTCCTGCATTCTGAGGCATTGTTCTCATGGCAGGGAAATGCACGTTCACTTTGTTTGAATGTTCATGTCTGGCTTCACCTTACGTTTGTACCGGCCCCCTGTATTTCTGTAGGAGTCTTCCCAAGACTGGTTCCCTTCAGATACCTTGGACATCTAACTCCGTTGATGTCTAACTCCTAACTGACTGTGGTGACTGGAAATGCCAGGAGCTGTAGTCAAACACATCTGCAGGGAGGCAGGTTTTGGAAGCTGTTCTGTAATATCCAGATGTTCCTTGGAAGGCAAATATATAGATGTTTCCCTGATGTGAGGAACCTTGAAAATCTCTTCTCCACAGGAACTGTATGTTCATCTGAATAATTATCATTTCATGATTAGCTGTGAGTATAAAGGGCAACAGTCAACACAACGAATGATTGCTGTCACTGTACAGAATAAAGAAGCTTGTTTTAATCCTTTCTGAAATTATCTATGGCATTACCTGCAAAAGACTCATTAAGAATAGTACTTATCTAAATGCATTGTGTGGTAAAGCAAAACCTCAAATGTTGCTAAACTCATAATATTCCTTTTTATTCGTTTTTGTTTTTCTTGGATAACTTTTTTTAAAAATAGGGATCAAATTGCTCTTGAAGACCCAGAAAGAGATATTTTTCTAATGTGTACTTGTCTGCCTTTCTTACAGGCCCCACCGTGTGATTTACCATGGAAAAACTGTTTTGTAGCATCCTGGTGTTTGGAGTGGCCGTTGTTGTCAATGCTTGTCCAAAATATTGCGTCTGTCAGAACCTGTCTGAGTCACTGGGGACACTTTGCCCTTCTAAGGGCCTCCTTTTTGTACCTCCAGATATAGACAGGAGGACTGTTGAACTCCGACTTGGGGGCAACTTCATTATTAACATCAGTAGACTGGACTTTGCCAACATGACTGGCCTGGTGGACCTTACCTTGTCGAGGAACACTATCAGTTACATACAACCCTATTCATTTGCTGACTTGGAAAGCCTACGGTCTTTGCATTTGGATAGTAACAGGATGCCTGATATTGGGGAGGATATTTTAAGAGGCCTGATTAATCTTCAGCACTTGATTATAAACAACAACCAGTTGAGCTATATTTCAGATGAAGCTTTTGAAGACTTCTTATTCACCTTAGAAGATCTGGATCTTTCCTACAATAACCTCAGAAGCATCCCTTGGGAATCCATCAGGAAGATGGTAAACCTGCACCAGATTAGTTTGGACCATAATTTGATAGATTATATTACAGAGGGAACCTTTGCAGATCTCCAGAAACTGGCCAGGTTGGATCTAACTTCCAACAGACTCCAGAAGCTTCCTCCTGATCCCATATTTGCCAGGTCCCAAATATCTCCATTAACTTCAACTCCGTTTTCCCCACCTTTATCTCTGAGTTTCGGAGGGAATCCTTTGCACTGTAATTGTGAACTCCTGTGGCTGCGACGTCTTAACAGAGATGATGATATGGAAACCTGTGCTTCTCCTCCAGGTCTAAAGGGAAGGTACTTCTGGTATGTCCGGGAGGAGGAGTTTGTTTGTGAGCCACCACTGATTACCCAGCATACCCACAAGCTGTTAGTTTTAGAAGGACAAACAGCCACTTTAAAGTGCAAAGCCATTGGAGATCCATCTCCAGTTATTCATTGGGTGGCCCCAGATGACCGGCTTATTGGGAATTCTTCAAGGACAGCTGTTTATGACAATGGCACCTTAGAAATCCTGATCACAACATCCAAGGATTATGGGACATTCACATGCATAGCAGCAAATGCTGCTGGAGAGTCCACTGCAACCATCGAGTTGTCAATTGTCCAGCTTCCCCATCTCAGCAATGGTACAGGCCGGGCAGCTCCACCCAAATCAAGACTTTCTGACATCACCAGCTCCAGCAAATTGAATCGAGGGGAAACCAAGGGGCCACCAGAAAGGGCTGTCCTGGTCTCTGAGGTGACAACTACCTCAGCTTTGGTCAAATGGACAGTGAGCAAGTCAGCACCAAGAGTTAAAATGTACCAGCTGCAATATAACTGCTCTGACGACGAAGTTCTAATCTACAGGTAAGTGTGATTGGCTGTCAGATTTTGTTCCTTAAAAGAGAAATTACGGGGTGGTCGGTGATTTGGTTGAATGACTCATGGAATCTGCCTCGTCATGATAGACTTGTCACAAAAGACAAGACTGAAAGATCCCACTTCCTCTATCAGCTCTGCATGAGTCGTGGCACATATTCAGGAGCGACAAAGGGTATGTGGATAAGCTGCACTGCTTGTTGTCCTCACTGTGCATGGTGTCGCTCTTTAATGCCCTCGTCTGTAGGGCACTGTGCATCATTAATAAAAGAAAATAGCTCGGATTTCTGCATCTGAATAGGATGTTCTGCTATGTTCTCCTTCCGGCCTCACTCTGCTTGCTTTTTGAGTCAGAGGCTACAGCTGCCTCATGTTCTGCTTTAACTCCACAATGTCCTTGACCACACAGAATGTGTCTGCTGCCATGAGGGCCAGCCCTACCGTATGGCAAAGATTGCCAGCTGCTTCAGGTGGCAAATGCTAGGGGTCAGCAGGAAGACGTGTAGCATACGGCCTGCTCTGTGTACCCTATGGGGAAGCTGCCTTCAGGGGATACGGAGGATGCTGTAAAAAGATTCATGTTCCAGTCTAGGCAGCTTTTGTGCATGGGCAGAAGGGGGCGATGTTTTGCCTTTTTCCTCAGGCAGCAAAATGTATCGTTACATAAAGGCTGCTCTATTTATGAATGGTTAGGTAAAGCACTGGGTACTTGAGTGAGGAAGTCTTATTAGCTCGTGGCTTGCAGGCTAGCAGTATTGTACTTGCAAACTTTCCATCAAAGCAGATGTAAAAATATCAGCAGGGTCCGTAAACTAAGACTCAGGAGTGGCCCTACGAGCTTGTCAGGAAAAGAGGGCAGGCTTCTTCTGCAATGGGACGCAGGGAAGAAATTCTTCATGTTTTCTGCTCTAAACCACCCACCGATTTCTAACTTCTTGTTCAAATATAAATGGAAAGGGGGATGGAAGACCACCCTTCCAAGGTTAGTGGGAAATAGAGATGCTTTAATATTTATTTGGGTGTTTATTTTTTCACTGGTACAGATTTTGTACTGCAGTGAAGCTGCAGTGCCTTCTGTTTGGCTAGCAGGATGCTGCTGCCTTCTCAGGGCCACACCTGGGCTGTGGAAGGGAATATCATGACTGCAGCAACCTCCTGCAAATTAAGAGACCTCAGAAATAATGAGAAATGTTTCCCATCAATCCTGCCTGAGGAATGGAGCTTGAAAGTCAATCAGATTGCAAAACTCAACTGTGGCAAATGCTTGTGTCAGTGTTATTAGGATTAATGGCAGTGCTGACCAGCAATCTGTATGTATATTCCCTGGGAATTCCAACATATAAGTGCATGTTAATTTAAAGATGCAGCTAGCAGCCATGTCTTCCTTTTCTTCTTTACTCTAGAGTAAATGTATGATGCCCTGCAAGTGGATGGCTATTTGGGAGGGGGAATGCTAAAGCTTCCTGCCCCCATGCCAGTTTGCCTGTCTGGATTGGATCTCTTGTCTTTTCTTCAGAGTAAAACATAACAATGCTATGTAACTGATTTCCATATCTGCAAATAGATGTGTGTTTTGATAGCCTTTTACTGAGCATCTGAATGTATGCCTAGAACTTTAGAAATCCTATTTAAACCTAGTAAATATTTAGGTCCAGATCAACTTTCCCAAATGATCCAAGCAGCATTTTCTCGGTGCTACAACTATGTTCTAGAATGGCTCTTGCGACAGGGCATCCTGTCCTTGTTTAAATGCGGTTAAATCTGCCCATGGATTATCCCTACTGAATCACCCACACAGAGAAAACAACTAAGGCATTCACCCTCCTACTTGCTCCAATGAAAATCTGGTTTTCACTATTTGTTGTCTTCAGGTGAAAGAGAGGGCAGGTGAAAACTGCAAGGACAATACCTTGGTCTCTTTACCATGACTGTGGAGATGGACAGTGTTTACTCAGGGAGATTTCAAGCATATGAACTTGAGCATTTCCTATAGCTCAAGCCTCAGGAATGGCATTACAGTTAAGAAATCTGGAAAGAAAGTTACGTTTAAGCTGCAGAAACATAGTCCAGCTGAAAGATCATTCCACTAATTCTAAACCATGCAGAAAGCCTTAGCTATTAGGCAGTAGAGAAATTAATTCAAAGAAATTAATAACAACAGCAACCCTGAGCCGGAAACATTGGATCTCACAGCTCCAATTCCAGCAAGTACTGAAAGTTCCTACAGATAGATATTTCCAGATTCTGATTTTGTGAACCAGGTTGGTGTGGTGGTTAGAGTGCTGGACTGGGGACCTGGGAGATCCAGGTTCTAGTCCCCACTTAGCCATGAAGCTCACACTGGGTGACTTTGGGCCAGGCAACCCAACCTACCTCACAGGGTTGTTGTTTTGATGATAAAACAGAGCTGTCCTGGTTTCTTCAAAATAGGGAAAAGAGGTGGAATATAACTGCAATGTGGTGGTGGTGGTGGTGGTGGTGATCATGATGATGAAATAATAATTTGAGACCCAGTGTAGTGTAGCAATTACGAGTGCTGGACTAGGACTTAGGAGAGCTGGGTTCTAGTCTCCACTTGAAGCTCATTGGGTGATTTGGGGCCAGTCACGGTGTCTTAGCCTAACCTACCTCACAAAATTGCTGTTGTGAAGATGAAATTGAGTGGAGAACTTTGTAAACTGTCTTGGATTCCTTGCAAGAGGAAGAAAAGTGGAGTATAAACGTAAGGTAATAATGATAGTAATAGTAACAACAGCAAAGGCCAAAGCAGACAAGGATAGTGGTAAAGGGCAATAGTTTCCACAGTTATGCTTTCAGACCAGAATTTTAATAGTCATGCAGCACACCCCACCATAATGGGGAAGACTGGCCAGTGTCAGCTGAGTCTGCTGTCCAGGTGCTACCCCTCAGCATGCAGCATCAAGGCCCTGCTGCCGTCCCTCCTTATGGCTCTTTATCTGTAATCTGGGGAGCATAGGCATTCCTTCACATAAAATACACTTCCAAATAGAGAACTTGGGCGTATCCACATTCAGCCCTGAATACAGTCCATGTAAAGGACCACAATGAAAGGGAGATTGGAAAGCAGTGCCGATTGATGCAGCCTATAGAACCGGATTCAGTTCAGAGACTGGAACTGCTGGGAAAATTAGAGCAGAGCAGACAAGAACAGAACAGAACAGAATGTTAAGGTCTTGGAGAGGTGAGGAGAGGAGAGGAGAGGAATTTCTTTCCTCTCATGATCTGCCTATTGGTCCCTGAGGCCCATCCTATCATGCAGTAAGACTGGATTGGACCAAATCCAGATTTGTTTGGATGGATTTGAAAGTCCTGATCAGCAGAGAAGCAATATGTACATTTTTAATGAAAAGACATAAGCTATCTCCCCTCTCAGTTAGCCTCCACCATGGGAACAGTGGAAGTGCAGGTTGGAATGTCTCTGCACAAGGGCAGGACTGCTAGAACAACAGACAGACATCCGAGCCCTGCTGAAGGCGAAGGACATTGGCTAGCTTGGCCCAGGACCAGATCACAATCTGGTTCACTGTAGCTATGCTGGGATGAAGAAATGATCCTTCTGCATTATAACTGTTGCTTTTATGACAGACTGAGGCCCGTTTTATTTTGCTGTGTTTCTTTTGAAAGATGGTAAAAGCAAGTCTACAAATTACAAATTCCTGCACCATCTCAGTCTGTGCAATGGTTACATTCACACTATAAAAACGTATATTAGATATGTTTCAAGATGTATATGTGCTCTCATATATACATATATATATAACAGCTCAGGGTAGTTAATGTGTAAAAATGTATATGTATAACTTTAAACAGTTGCAAATTTGACTGGCTTCAGCACCATACTTTTCATCCTCCTCATCATCATTATACAGTCTGCAAACCTATTTACTAAGTCACACTGAGCTCTGTGAGATATACTTCCAGATAAAATACAAATGAAATTGTTTAGGACTGGGCTGTTACCTAGATTTCATTTTCGTTATATCAGTCTGCACGGCTTCATTTCAATCTAACCAAAACTGGAAAATAGAATGTACGCTTTGCTTGCTGATAGGATTTTTTGGAGCTGTTCATTTCTTCTGTTGTTGTGTCTTTAATGGTGTTTTAGTGTATTTCTTTTTACGTTTGTAAGGATTGTTAGACCCCTTGGACCATTTTTGGGAGAAGAGATGTTTACCCCCTAATTCCCCAACACACACACACTTGGAGCACCATGTTCCCAGTCTGAATGGGGGCCTTGTATACGTACGCAAATGCAAATGAATGGCTACACCACACATAGTTCGCAGAATGTCCTGCTTGGGCTTCAAATGGAGATTTAGAGTGCACCTTTGTGCCTTCACGCACCTTCGCTAACAGTGTGTGGAACTCCCCATCTGACTTAACATGTGCCCAGTTAAGAACTGTATATCCGACCTACTGTGCTGAGCACAATCTCGGGTATACAGGAGGTGCCAAGCAGTCTTCTGGTTTCCAGTTTCAGGAAAACCTGACCTCAGCAGCTCTGGTGCACTGTTCCGTCTTCCACACACCTTTCCTGTGTCTCAGACTGCCCTGAACATTAACATTTCGGAGATGAGGCATCAGACAGAAGAGCTGCTACTTAAAGCGGTGTGAAAGTACTGTTGTGGAGTACTATGATTAATCGTATCATCCAGAGAGGGAGAGGAAGTAGACTTGCAAAAACATAACCGTGTTCCTTAAAAGAACAGAAATAATTCTGCAAGGCAAGGAAGCTTGCCCCTCCAAGACCTTAAAATTGCACTGCAGAAGATAAGGATGAAAGCATCTGCTCTTACACTATACAGGTGTTATTAATGGTGTTATTAATCTGGGCAAATTTGGAATATTATTATTATTCATTACATTTTTATACCCCCATAGCCAAAGCTATGTCATAGCCAACCCAGGCAAGTCTGGATTGTTCACAGTATTTAAGCCACCCATCCAAAACATGTTAGGGAGAGTCA